GTATAGGAATGGGGAAAGCGGGCTACCAGGCTTTGGGCTGCTTTGCCAAGGACAATTCATTTTGGCCAAACAGTGGGCTTCAATTCATCCAAACAAGAGCAGGAAGCCAAAAGTGGCTAACTGGATTAGTGTGACCCAGCAACATCTCCTCAAGAAAGCATGCAAAACGGTGACAGCAGCTCACGCAGCATTGGTTTCTGGTTGGCCAAGTTGTCTTTGGGGGCTGCTGAGGAGTTGGCTTTGAGGGGTGGGAGGCCTCCCTGTATTTGCATGTTTCCATTTTCTGTGTGTGAGTGTCCTTAAGTAACCCACCTGGCCTGGAGAAGAAAGCCAAGTGTCACACCCAGTTCTGGATTCCACATTAACAACCTCCTTCCGCAGTGTTAAACTTTGCCCTTGAGGCCTTTTGTTTAACTTTTTAATTTGAAAAACAGATTCTGCTGCGTCAGTCCCTCCTGCCCTCCCTGCCACCCACCCCCAGCACCCTCTCCTCCTTTTTTTTTTTTTTTTTGTTAAAGTAAAATATAACTGTCTCAAACAGACATTTTTCTTTCTGTCTCTAACATGTGCATCCTGCCTTCTTAGTGAAAAGAGAACACAACAGGCTCTTTAGAAACTTGTTATACATATTAGAACAAGTGTTGTGAGCTAAGGAGTTGGGTCCATTGCCTTCATCAACCACTAGCTTCGGCAGCCTCATGACCGTATTTCGGGAGATGGTCTCTGTTTTCCGAGTGCTCTCCACGAGGCACAAGAAACAGAACAGATTGGCACCGTCAAAGGTACCTCCTGCCATTTCAGGCTTCCTGTTTGGGATGCAGTCAGGTAGATATTGTTTATGGTTCATAAAACCTGACTACTGTGAGTATTCCCGAATCCCAGCAGAATGGGTTTCGAACTTTCATGGAGCTGTAAATTAAGGGGTGGGAAGTGTGATAAAACTCCTTAGAGAACTGTGAGAGGAAAAAAAAGTCGGGTTGCAATGGTTAAATGAAATTTTATAAGCACATTCAGTGTGGAGCTGTTTTGCATTACATGAGTTGAATACCTTAGAGACGCCACATCTGCAGGCACTTTATTAAATCCTTAGTCAGCACTTTCCAACCTGATGAGATTACTTCTTCATTTGACTGGAGAAAAGGAAAGCCGAGCTCTTCTCCTGGACTGCAGATTTCTTTTGATGTTTCACCTTGAACAGTGAAAGAGGACAATTACCCCCCCCTTCCCTCCCGCCTCCCCCTCAGCACATCCCAAACTTTAGACGTTGTGAATATAACTGACTAATTTTACGCAACTGGAGCCTTTGTAGGAGTGTGGATTTATGGATCTCCAAAACAACTGTAGCTGAAAGTTCCTGAGCAAAAAAATAGATCAAAGCTTTGTGTTTACTTCCTTAATGTAAATGTATCGAGATAACATCATCCTATATTGTATTGTAATAGTGCCACTCACTGCAGATAAGAGACAGAGATTCCTTTGTAGTCCATTTGGATACTGTAAGTAGGTTAGATTAAGGGGCTATAAAGTATGAAGGCAGAAACCATATGAAACCTAAGCTTATGTCAGTAAATGTCTGAAGACCGTTTTTTGACTGTCCGTAAATAGATTTTGTTTAATGTGTCAACATTTTCCCAGTGATTTGCTATTCAACCCCAACAATTTCATAGTCTCAGGTTTCTTTTATGTTTTTCCTGTATAGCCCAATAAGAAAATATGCAGAGTCATTCTTCAATTATTGTTTTGAAACTGGTGCTTGCTTACATAATAGAAATTATGAGAAAACATCACAAGAGAAAAATGGGCTTTTCCAAATATTATCTTGTCCATCTGGTGTTATTAGCAGTTCCTGGAAGTTTATAGAAATGGATTGGCTACTACATGTGTGATTATCATGCTCATCACAATGGGATTGTGAGCGTCTTCAATTACGAACTGATCATGAGAAAATTTAGCGGAATGGATGATTTTTTAAAAAATTATTATTGTCAGAACTGTTTATCTGGCATCTCAGCAAACAAATGATTTAATCACAGAGACTTCATGGGGTGGGGGGGGGGAACCCTGTGTGGTTCCCCTAACCAACTTCCCATTCTGGAAACCCTTGGTCAAGTAGCCGGGTTAATTGTCATGAAGATTAGTGTGATGTTGAAATAAGTACTAATGGTCAAATTATAGGAGTGAAAAAGTTTAAGAATAGGTTTTGGTTTGGGCCTGAAAGGGTTAATTAAGGTTTTTTCACGGGTTATTAAAGACCCCCAACCTCTGCCTTCAGGAGTCATATTGACACCCCACCACAGGGCAGCTCTGCTCTTCTATTGACATGTTGCTGGTCAGAGCACAATAGCCTTCTGTGTCTGCAAATCATTGCTAAAATCATCTCAAGGAAAAAAAAAAAAAGTTTGAAAGCTTTAACGTTAGACAAAAGCCCAAGAGTTGCAGTGCGCAGCTCAAAAACCCGGAGTCAGCAACTTCTATTGATTAAAAACTAACCTTTAAAGTAACTCTGAGAGTGTGTGGTTAGCATTTAAATTTAAACATGTCATGAGTTGATTTGTGTTACTGAATACCAACTCAGAAGGAGTAACATTCACATCGCATTTTTTTTCTAATTCCCTTAAGCAGCTAAAGTATTTCATGAAATGTCAATAGGGCAAAAAGAAAAAGAGGAGGGGGGGGCCCCTGATGCTGGGCCTGTAGTCTTCTTTCCCATGCAAATATTCACCCCCCAAAAGTGTGGAGAGTGAAACACAATAATTAGTCCTTTGTCTAACTTTCCCAAGTGCTAGAGAAAGACAGATTAATTAAATATACAACAGTGTTGGTTTTTGGAGTGGGGGTCTCGCTTGCTGTGTAGGTCATAAATTAGGCAGAATAAATACTTCAATGTGTTTGCAGTGGGCCTGCTACGTCAGAACCACTGGAAGGTTGGTGGGAGGAGAGCAGAGGGTTTCTTGCTAATGATAGTCACGTCTGGGTCTGTCTGGTTGCTCTTAGCAACCAGACATGATGTAACACCAGGATGAACTTGAACTTGGGGGACTTGAAAAGAGAACAATAGACCAGAGCAATCAATAAAGCCTATTTCAGTGAAGGATTACAGAGCTGCTCTGGGGTAACCTTGTCGGCAAGGCACATACTGAATAGTAAGATGTGTGAAGAAACTTTTTTTTTTTTTTTTGCTTTGCTGTTTAAGAGAAGTGCAGAGGCACTGCAGATTTTTGTAGTGCCCTGAGGTCTCATCCAGAAACTGTGGTGTGGAGAACTGCTCCCCCTGCTGACTCACACTGGGTCCCAGGCCTTTGCTTCAAGAACTACCGTAGTGTCCAATTGAAGAAGTCTGGAATTTTACAACTGACTTAGAAAGTGCGAAAACAGACATTGTAAGCATTATTCCCCGCACCCGAAGTTTTGTGAAAGAGGAAGTGGCCCTAACGTGGATCAGAGTCAGCTATTAGGAGAGGCCTACAAAAAACACGCTCTGGAATTACCTTCTCCCTCCTTTCTTTCTCCCTCTTCTTTCTTTTGTCCAGTTAGATTTAGGCCGTGTGTATTTGCCAGGATGATTTCCTTTCAGGACACAAGAGACTTTATTGTATTCCTCAAAGCATGTGGTCAAAGAATAACATGGAAAAGTATACAGGATGAGTAGTTTTTTGGTTTAGGCTTGGGTTTTTTAAACTCTTCTGCAAATCAAAGGTAGCTTGTGTGACCAGGAAATCTTATACCAACCTCTACGTGCCTATCATTTAGCCATTTATCCATGGGGATCACACGCGTCCTTACTTTACCTAATTGAGTCTCTTAGACCTGGATGAGCCTTCACCTGACTGAATCAACCCAAATGTAACCCTTTCTGGTACTGTCCACTGAGAGAATTCAGAAGCATGCACATTTGCCAGAAGTCAATGATTTTTCTGTGAATAATGATAAATGTAGTGAATTTGTTAGGGTATCTCTAGAGAAAAGTTGGCAAAAGCCAGATACTTTTTTATTTCACTGGAGAAACTCTGATATTACTCCATAATTGGTTGGTTTGTTTAACAGAAAAAGAAATGCCAGCAGATAAAGTGAGGTATCACCAGACAGTTGCTCAAAGCTAATCACCTAAGGATTTATGAAAGGAAAAGGTAACCAGTAACCAGGCCCTGCAGGCACACAGAAGGCTTTAAATAAATGTTGAATGAACAAAAGCATGAACGAGGACTATGCAGTGGCCTCATTGTTCCTTCGAACAACATGGTAGTCAATAGGGTAAAATTTTAATACTACTTGAGTATTACGTGTCATGTTTGAAAATATTATTTTAGAAATATTGAACCAAAAGGAGCATTTTACATTGTAAAATCTTATGTGTATAAAGAAATGGAGTGCAAGGGAAATTCTGTGACTCTCCCAGAATCATCCAGAAGTCCTGGGACAGCACTTTTCCCCCTCTGCCGCCACTTATTTTTATGTCACTACTGACCACCTGTGCCTGTCAGAAGAGCGCTATGATCGTGTCTGCAGTGCCTGGCCCTCACTGAAAAGGAGATGTGACGATCACCGGAGCCGCATGTGGCACCATTCCATGCCATAAGAAGCCCCTCCCTTCACGCATTCTCCATTCATTCAGCTCTTCCTCCTTGAGAACATTCTGTACTCCAGGCACTGGGTTAGGCACTGAGGACTGAGTGATAAACCAGATGCCGTACCCTCCTCTACCTGCCCCCACCAGACTACAAAAACCTGTATTTGTATTTTAAGAGGACAGAAATACTTCATTTTGTAAAGCATACTCAGAATGCTGGCAAAACCCCCACGACAGAATGAATTTTAATTTCGGAAGAGTAAGATCAGTGTCAGAGCCTCAGGATCTACTATTGTCTGTCTTTTCCCTGCAAATCCCTCCCTCATCCCTACCATAGATCCCACCTCCCATCCTCATAATCCGAAAGGCAGCTTCCAAACTATGATGTTTTACAAATCATACTTCTAATTGTACTTTTCCTTTTGTTTTCCAGTCCTGGTACCTGGGATAAAAGTTGCAGTGTCCCACCATCCACCAGACAGACCACCTGACCCCTTCTCAACTCTGTAACATGGACGCAACCTCAACCCCGCGCGGTTACAACTTCACTGTCAGTGGAAGGGGAGAAATACCGATTCAAATCAACTTGTACAAGGAAACAGCGAGCATTATGGTCAAACAGCAAAGGCCATAACCTTTTGGGATTTTTTTTTTTTTAAATACTTTAGGGACTGTTGTAATTTCTCATATGGTGCTGGAAATGGTTGGGCTTTGTAACATTTGAAGTGTTTTTCCGTGGTAGCGTGAGCATTAGGTGACTTGGCTAGCAGAAGACTACCCTTGCTCACTGACTTCCTGTTGTAACACACTTTCCTTACGGAGCCCGGCTGTTTCACAGTATTTCATGAATTTACCCACACAGGTGTGGTCCTCCTTGGCCATTCAGGGGACACATGGAGAACTAAATCTTTTGTAGTAGCTGAGATCTGCAATATATAACTTACGGGACAGTCAAAGGGCAATGTTTTTCTGTAACATATTGGAAAAAGAAAATGCAGTTATGCTCCTTTTTTTATTTTTTCTTTTAGTTTGGTTTGGTTCAGCTGTCAGCAGTTAAGTATATAACATGGCCCGCAAGGACAATGAATCCACTCACATTGCAGAACAATTCTGAAAATGGCAAACTACTACTACTACTATTCAGTTTTTTAAAAGTTTTGAAATGCTGCACTTACATTAAAAAAAAAACCAACCATTTTTTCAACAATTTCAACAATGACACAAAAATTCACATGGAAATGGGGAAGATGGTCTGTTTTGACAGAAACTGACAGGAATCAATCAAAACAATCGAATTTTGAATTGAGTAAAGTGCAATTTCATTGGATAGCTAAATATCTTTGTAAGATAGAGATTGTTGAAAATTCTATTTTTGTTTTTCAAGTCCTTTCACCCCAGGACTCTAAATTATTGGGGTAAAAAAACAGCCTTGCAAGAAAAAGGGGAGCTATTTTTGCTTTTTATGTTTTTTATTGTTAAACTTGTATCCCTTTAAAAACTGAAGGAAAATTTAAAAAAAAAAACAAAAAAACAAATCTAATGGTGCTTTTACCACAATATGTTAACTACATTAAATGCTAATTAATTATTTTCTGTTATCAAAGCACATAACTAAAATGAAATCATGGTATCTGTTAATTTTATAAGCTAAGAAGTCTATAATGGATTATGCCAATTCTGAAAATTTTTACATGTATCTGGCAACATAGGATTTATCAGTTATCAGACACCTCATTGTACCAGAGATTGTCCAGAAGTTTTAAAGACCTTTGCGTCCCTGAACTGGGCTATGGGAAAAAAACGAATAATAATAACAATAATGAAACCAATACTGACATAAATGCTGGTGCCCATTCAGATCAAGGGTACTTGTTAGGGAAAAAAAAAAAAGTTTGCACCCCCAAATGTCCTGTATCTTATGTAAAAAAACAACAACAACAAAAAAAAAACAAAAAAACACAGAAACAAAAACAAAAAAAAGTGCAAGTGATTTTTCTACCAGACAGCGAAGCACCCCTTTGCTTCCCATGCAACTTCAAGAAGGTTTCCTATACTATACATATATATACGTTCTGGTTGGCAAGCCCTGCTGATCAGAGAAAGTCTCTGCATGTTCTAGTGTTAGTAACTAATTTTTATATAGTTAATGTAGGATAAAGTAGAGTGCATTAAGACACAATATTGTAATCCCTACTCTAGGCACTTGCCTTTAAACTATGTTTTTCAGCCCTTCAGAAGGGTTCTACTACTGTCCTATACAATCAAGTAACTGAAATTCTTGGGAAGACACTTTGCTCCTCATCTTTCCCCCCCGAAACAATGTTGTTTTGTTTTGTTTTTTTTCCTTAATTTGCACGAAAACAAAAATTCCATATCAATGTGCCTTGCCCTGGATAGCGATTATTTGTGGAATTGTTGCACATGCTCCTCTAATTGAAAGGGGTTTTTCCCTAGTCAAGCATTTGGAGACACTTTTTGTAAATGTGACTTTTATGTCAGCCATCGTCAGTTTCAACATCTAGAACTAAATAGAAAGTTAGTTGTTCCGCAGATAGGAGTAGTCTTTATTGTCCTGTATGGTCGGTGGCAGTGCTATTCTGAGATCTGTAGATGCTTAGAATATCAGTATTTTGGATGTTGCTGCATTTTACAATTTATTTGGAGTCTTCCTTTATTTTCCCCCCCAGATATATGAAAATATGCAATACCTGCTTATATCATGTAGAAAAGCTTAGCAATTATTAATTTTTCTTTTATTTTTTTTTTATTTGACCAAAGTCGGGGCTGCACTTGACGCAGTGTGTTTTAGGTGTTTGTCTTTGTACTTTTTTGTGATTTTTGAATGCACGTGCGCAGGAAGGGCTCCTCTTAGAGAAGCAGTCAAACTGTGAAGCACTAAGCTGACCCTGCTTCAAGCAATTTTGTTTTTACAACTGTTCCTTTCACAAGCAAGCCTTAAAAAAAAAAAAAGACAACTTCCTTTTTCTTCAGCTCCCACACCCCATTTTTCTTAGCAGACTGCAGTCAATCCACATTCAATAAAAAGTATATAATGCCCATTTTTATATGCACGTTTTTAAACTTCCAAGTTCTGAAAATTGTTTACTGGTTATCTCTATTTAAGGAAAAAAAAATAAAATAAAACATTTTGGATTTTCATATGTGTCTGATAAGTGGTTGAATAGTCGTTTGGCGCTGTTGTATGGTGTGATTGTCAGTGTACGGTGTCACTTCCTATAGCCAGCCAGCATACTTTGCCTTCCCCTATAGCACTTAGCTGGGCATTACTTTATTATGACATATGTGCACTAAAAAAAAAAAAAGAAAAAGAAAAAAAAAAAGAAAAAAATAGCAGCTTTCAGTGCTTCACAGTGAAGGGAAAAAAGCCTAGACAAACATTTTGTCAGAACCTTGCAATAAGCCAAGGTATTACCAGTAAATTGGTTGTATATACAATAAAATTGCACCCTTTTTTAAACAAAACAAACTAAGCAATAGTTTGGGCAGTTTTAGTTGTTTTTAGTGAGCATGTTGTAGTCATGACTGCAAAGAGAGAATAAACTGCCCACTCAGAAGATATGTAATTTGTATTGTTGTATAGTTTTATTGATTACACTGATTTATTCTACCCTATTTTATAATGCAGGACTTTTGTAATGTTGTTTAAATGAGGAAAAATTTCTGTCAAATTAGCCTAGTGAAATTTCTGATTGTTCATTATAAAGGCAGCGTTCATAGAATTGCTTTTCTTTCTCCCCCCCACCCCCCTTGGGAACTGGATTTAAGTTTAAAACTTTCCTGTTTCCTTTTTTTTTTTTTGTAAGTATTTAAATACAGTTATTTTTTTCTCTCAATGGTATAGCATATTCCTATGCTTAAGAAGTATAGGTCTACTGAAAAACCATTGTAAATGGACGTTACAGGTATGCTGTATTTTTGAAGGTATTTTGTTGTATTAAGTTTGATGAAGCTAAAATTAGGGAACTCAGAACAGATTTGCAGGAAAAAAAATGTTTTAAAGGCTTTAAAACATTAGGGAGGCAGTCTAGGGTGATAACGAACAGGGGTTAAGTATTAAATACACTAAGTTACATTTTTGTTCATGTTTCATTGTCCAGAAAGCAGCAGGAAACTGTAGTTCAGTTGTGATCAAGCAGGAAAAAAGAAACACCAACAATATGAGTGTTTTGCTTTTTAAGATTAAAAGCCTAGCAAAGATGTTTGAGGAAGACTTTGCTACCTGGGGTGTGTAGACAGACAGACTGAGAGCTATCAGCATTTGAAGGCCCAGCCCTTGATTCTGAAACACATTTGAATTTTTTCTCGCCCATCAAATGGCATTAACATGATTGGCAAAGATAAATCCCTCAAATAACTCAAAACGTGTTTTTTCTTTGGGAACTGAAGTCAGAGGCACGAACACTAAATCTTACCATTTTTCTATCTGCTTTTCCTTCTGACCCTTCTCCCTGCCACCAAAACACCCCTTTTCTGATCATTCACGGGCAGAGGCCCTCACCCTAATGCCACTCTCTCCATCCTAGAGAGCCTTTTTCTTTCCTCTGAGGTTTGAACTAATGTTTTTGTTTCTTCACACCCTGGCATGACAGTCATTTATTGTCACTTTACTCCCCAGCCCCCTCCCCACCATCAGGTGTGGGCTCTAGGCAGGCTGACAAGGTTACACTTCCCGAAGCTTGTGTTCTTCATTTTTTGACAGTCAAAAGTGTAGAGGAACTCAGACTTTCCAGAGCCATGAGATTCAGTCAGCCCACAGGAATATGCAAAACCCATCTCAGAAAGTTTGTCTTTCATTTTTTCAAGTCCTTATCCCCATATGCTTTGAATTCTGTAGTTACAATGTCATAAACTATTTACAAAACCTGGATTAAGAAAAACATTTTTTCCCTGGGATTTGTTTTTTGGGGGAAATGGTTTCTAAGAATGTCATTTAATGTAGCGTGCATCACATCTCTGGAAATATCTTTGTCCATAGTGGTGATGGTCTCTCTCCTGTCTTGCTCTCTTGCTATTCTTTGTTTGCTTTTTCCTTCTCTCTTTCATTCTTTTTCTTTCTTTTTTTTAGTAGCAGGCCTCCATAGAACAAATCTAAAACACAACCGGCATGGTAATGTAAGGAGAGCTTCAGTGGCACCTCACAACCCACCCTCCGAGATCTGTCATGAGACAGCCTCAGAAAGCTGCACTGCCCACCGGCACGGCTTTCATTCAAATAGGCTTCCAAGGCCAAGTCTGTCTTGAAGTCAATGCATGTATTTACTGTTTGACAGTAAACCCGCTCTGCCTTCTCCACGTCCAAGGCTGTGCATTCGTCTAATTAGTGTCGTGTATGTTTTCCTTTTATTTTTTCCAATAAAAAAGCAGTGGGATGAAAATTGCTTTGATATATAGCAGGTAACATTGAAGCTATTCCATAGCACTTAACTGTAGTGAATACTGTGTCACCAATTTTGAAATCAATTTAATGTTTAATGCAAATCCATTACATGGTGCTATTACAGGCTGACAAAATGATTTACACAAATGTGACAACTTGGGCTCAATTCACTCTGCTTTCCAACAGTGTAAATGCATAGCAGTGTTTATCTGCATGAGAACTATGCACTAATCTATCTGAAGAAAAAAACTATATCAACTTTGGTATCTACTTTCCGTTTACTTCAATCCTTGCCTTTTTGGTCATTGTTATAATGCCAGCTTTAGGACAGAAAGAATTATAAGAAAACCAGCATAATACCTGATATATTAAAATGTAGTGCCTGTGAAATCTGTATTATATTGCTCTTCGGAAGTAAGATTTTTCTACACCGGTAGCCTTCGCTGTCTGTCAGGACCTTCTGGTATAGGTGATGTAAAATAACCGTACAATATTAATGCATGCTATTCCATAATGCTTAGTGAACTGTATGAATATTACTCAAAGTTATGTTAGTCTTTTTTTCTGACTTGGTTCTTATCAGCTAGGTTAAAAGGTATTTCACTGAGAACGCAAATTCTGTCTTTTCTTGATTTCAGCTGTTTTCAGTATTTTGGAGGTATACATTTACTTAAATTCAGTATTACTTGTGTTTTGTTTTTGTTTTTGTTTTTTGTTTTCTTTTTCCTAGGGGACAAGCATGGGTGTTTGATTTCAGAAATCAGGACCTGGCGAGATTTTTTGTCTCAAAGCTACCATTTGAATTTCAAGAACTCTGTTACGAAGACACTCTGAGAACATTTCCAAGTGAGGGATGTTTTCCTTGACCCTCGACTGAAGCTATGCTGATTCTGAACCATTTTCTTAATGGACAATGTTCAGCCAGGTACCCATGCTTGATCCGTCTTCACACCAGACCTCCTCATAGTAAAAGAAAAAAAAAAAAAAAAAACAACTAAGAAATCACGTGGCTATTTAGTTTCATGCACAGTTGCAATATTTTCTTCAAAAATAAAACTCTGTACAAACTTTGGGCCCGATTCATAAGAAAAAGACATTTGCTATTAACACGGGGCTTTTTTTTTTAGTATACTCTTTTTGATCTAAATTTGAAACGACTTGCTTCCCAAATTAAATAAATTTCATCTCATTTTTTTTTTCCCCTAAGTCAGCACCCGTCTGCCTTTTATTCCCGAAAGGGTCACATTACCCAGGTTCGGAGGGTGGGAGGTGAGCAGATACTGGAGGTGCTCAGGAGGATAAGGGGACCAGCCACAGCTGGGCCTGAGAGCAGGGAGGCAGCATGGGGGTAGGACTCACCTGTGCGCCAGGCACCCCGAGTTTCACATGTGGACTCATTCTGCTATTTGATTCAAAAAACTTCCAAAATGTGTCTGAACCACAAGAGTATACAGTGGAAGTGCTACCTCTAATCTAACCAGAGCACCTTCATGGTGGAAAGCACCCACCAGGCTGTACAATGTGAACTTTCGTATCTCTACAGTGGTTGCAAGGACGAAGACAACGACGTCCAATGTATTGGGCCATTTTTCCTGCTGTTTTATACTCAACTTCTCAAAATGGCAAAAGCTTTCTTTTTCCTTTGACTTCTTATTTTTTAAAATTTCTGTTTTTATTTTTATTATTATTATTTTTGGTAACAGTCTGTAAATTAGCCTTTTGGTTTTTTATTTTTTGTTTTTGTTTGGGTTTTTTTTTTTTGGTTCGTTTGGTTTTTTGATACTTCAACCCAAGGTCACAAGGCTGCTAGCTGCTCTGGGCTCGGGAAGTGAGAGAGCTGCCAGCTCCCTTCCTTCTCCCTGGTCTCAGACCCTCGTCTCTGCACTGCAAAGGCATTTAGTAGCCTCACCACTGAGATACTAACTAGACCTAGACTAGGAGCTTTACCAGGTTCTAGAAGGTCCTTTAGGAAGACTCCCAAAGGCAAACACGTGATCCCCCCACCGCCCAGCCCTCAGCCCTGACCTCTCACCAGAACAAAGTTCCTGGGGACTTTTCGCACCCATGGAAATCTGTCCACTCAAAATACCTCCGTTTTTCATTTCAAATTGTGGGGGCAGGGGACTGAACACTCCCAGTGAGGGCAAGAGATCTATTGTGAAACTAAATACCCCCCGTGTTAATAACTTGGTTTGAAATTTGTTTTTATGAGCCGGGCCCCCTGTGCCTCTAGTATACTTGTATTGACTCTCATAGTTACCCTTTTAGTTTTACTGTGTTCTGTGAAAATTTGTAATTGGTTGAGAATCACTGTGGGCGTCCATTCTTATTCAACTAAATCTCCACAGGTTTTTTGAGCTGGTGTGGATTAGTTTAACTCTTGTATTCAACCATTAGTGCTACCACCTTCTCACATTACAATACAATTACTGGAAGCAAGTACTGCATTTCCTATGCAACAAAAAAGGAAAAATAAAAAAATTGCTAATGCTATGGAGGCTGTGTCATCATTTGCTTTACATCATGCCCAGGTGGTTGAGCGACAGTCATGGGTGTACACTGGAGGTTCCCCAGATGATGGTCTTTTTGCTCCTTGCAGTGTGTCAGGCACAGAACATCCGTCACGGTGTTCTGATGGGTGGTAGTGTTTTTTTCACCTACTTGAACAAATCTAAGACTTAACACTCACGTTGTGCTTACTATGTGCCTGACACTGCTCTAAGCGCCTTATATACCATATCAGGTGGGGCCCAACCAGGCACCAGGAATAGGGTCCAATAGGTTTTCCAACAGGGGACTCTAAAGTAGCCTAGATCCTGATCACTATGGGATGCAGCCACCATCCCTGGAGCTGGGGAAGCCAACAGGAAAGTTTGCGTTACCAGAATTTAAGCACGTGGGGAGGGACACCACACAGCTGTCATTTGATCTCTTTTGAGGGGGGGTCACCATGAGGGTGGGGACACCACATGGCTGGTACTCAGACTGCTGAGAAGACATGGTGTTGGCTCTATCGACAGGGATGAAGCTAACAGGGAGGTGGGGCATGGCTGGTGCAGGGTGGGCTGGGAGGGGGCTGGAGGCTGTTGGTGCAGCTGTCCTCTGCTGCCATGGCACTGTGCACAGGAACTGAAACCAGAAAGAAGTCCGTTCGCCTCCTCCCCCCTCCTCCTAGGCTCCTGCCAGTGTCTCCCATTGGCTGGACCCAACAGCAGCCATCTGGCAAGGGAATCCAGAAAATGCAATGAGAAAATTACCAGCCCCACCCTCATTGAGCAGAGGATAGGAGGGTGAGCTTGGAGACGAGACGATAAGTGAATAAGCAGCGTACATGGCTTAACCATTCAAACCTCACAGGCATCCTGTAACACAGGTACTATTTTTATCCCCCTGTTTCAGAAAAAGAAACCGAGGCAGAGAGAGATTAAATAATTTACCCAAAGTCATACAGTGAATAATTGGCAGAGTGGTATTTGAATTCAAGAAGTCTGGCTCTAATCTCCATCCTATAATCATATGATGTATTGACTCTTATTATCTATTCAGTAAATAGTAACTGAGTGCCTACTATGTGCCAGAAACAATGCCAGGGGCTAGAGATAATAAGCAAATAAAGACTGGGTATCGATTCTTATGAAGTATACAGCCTAGGGGCCTAATACACATTATTCAAACAAACACAGCAGCAATGGTAAGCGTGTAGTTGTGAGGCGTGCTATACCTGTAAAGGAGTTATACTGCCGTGAAAGCCAAATGAGACTAGTACTGTAGGTAGAAATTAACCGGGCAACAGGAGGAAGAAAGAATGTTCTGGGAAGAAAAAAATAACATGTACAAAAAGCCTGAGTTGAAGGGAGTTCGGCACCTATCAAAGAAGGCCTTTTTGGATGAAGAGGAGAAAAGGATAGAAAATATGGTACAAAATGAAGCTTGATATTTAGATCAGATGTTGCAGGGCCTTGCAGGCATATGAGGAACTTTTGTCCTACCACCTAAGAGCTTTATAAAACATGTAGCAGTCAGATTAGGCTAGGTCTATGCTGTTGGACAAACAAGTCTGGAATCTCAGTGGCTCACAACAATGAAGGTTTACATCTTATTTTACATGTCTACCAAGGATTGCCTGGGGCCTCTGAACCCCTTATTATTCCAGAACCCAGGGTAAAAAACAGCTGCCACCAGACCATTGCTGGATCTGTTAGCAAGGCACATACTGGCTTTTAACAAGTCCCACTGGAATTGACACACACCACTCCACTCACATCACTAGCCAGGACCAGGCACGCGGCCATGCCTGGGTTCAACAGGACCAGGAAGGATAATTCTCCCTCCTAGAAGGCTAGAGCACATTATTGCAGACTGGTCTGGGGAGAGTTCGTGCCAGGTGGAGACTGGGCTGAGTAGAGAGGACCCGAGAAAAGGCCACTGCAGTGATCGCAGAGATGACGCATGCAGGGCTGTGGTTCTGTGATGGGAGGGAAGAGAAGTGGACAGATGAGAGAGATTAATAAGGATATTAATAGCCACTGTATATTGAGCTCTTTCATGTGCCAAGTGCTATAGGTGATTTATCCCATTAAATTTACAATGTTCTCTCTTCTTATTGTAGCTCTCAAAAAGGTATGGTCAGTCCTCAAAACGCATTGCTGACCCAAGTGAATAGAGCAATTTTGCATGTACATGCCTTAGAGTTTAAATTAGACCAAATCAGTCACTACCTCATTTTGGTCTTTATTATTTGGGGTTAAGAAATTGAAATTAAAGTCAGCCAACACCATCCCTTTATTGACACGAGTCCCACTGGAATTGACATACACCACTCCGCTCACATTTCACTGGCCAGGACCAGGCACACGGCCATGCCTGGGTTCAACAGGACCAGGAAGGATAATCCTCCCCTGTTGATTGTTCCCAACACAAATAATACCCTAAGACACATGGTATGTGGGTACAGGGCTCGGGGGAAGGAAATGTTGTGATCAAACCCAGGGACTCAGGCACCAGACTGCCTGGGCTGAATCCTGGCTCTGCATTTTATGAGCTCTATGGTGTTGGCAACTGCCTCAATTTCCCCGCTGGTAAGATGGGAATAATTATAACAGCACCTAACTACCTCACAGAGCCGTTGTAGATATTCTATGAGTTAAAATTTGCAAAGTGGTTAGCAGTGGCCTGGTGCATTATAAATGCTATGTGAATGCTGCAGTTAACTAAAATGTTTCCAAAATGCACACATAAGGCATTCTTTCCGTGCACTGATGACATAAGCCTTCTTCCTGGTCATTTCCAGGCCTCTGTTTGAGTGAATTCTGAAACCTTTCATCTAACATCTGCTTCAACTAAGTGAAAAAGTAGCATCAAAAATGCATCCAGGAATGGATTTTAAAAATGCGACATGTATATACACAGTAGAATATTATCCAGCCATAAAAAAAATAATGAAATCCTGTCATTTCTGGCAACACAGATGACCCTGGAGGACATTATGTTAAGTGAAATAAGCCAAGCCCCCAAAGACAAATCCTGCATGTTCTCACACATATGTAGGAGCTAGAAAAGTTAATCTCATAGAAGAAGAGAATAGAATAGTGGCTACCGGAAGCTGGGAAGGGTAGGGGTATAGGGAGGTTGGATTGGTTAATGAGTACAAAATTACAATTAGATAAAAGGAATAAGTTCTAGTTTTTTTATAGCACAGTGGGGTAGTTATAGTTAACAATAATTTATTGTCTATTTCAAAATAGCTAGAAGAGACGATTTTGATTGTTCCCAACACAAACAAATGATAAATGTTTGAAGTGATGGTTATCCCAGTTACCCTGATTCGATCATTACACATTATGTACATGTATCAAAATAGCATATTCGCTCCATAAATATGTATGATTATTATGCATCAATTTAAAATTTTAAAAAAGAAGAAAAGCTTTAAAATAGTCAATAGAAATACAAATGGGAAAAAAAATGAGTCCAGAATTGAAGGCCACATGTACC